CATCGATTAATTAGTCTCAAACAAAATAAAAATACAATTCAAAATACAATTCAAAATATTTCATGCAATTTAATAAAAAAAAAAAAAAAATTATACGATTTAAAAGAGCGTCTAACAAATTTTTATGATCAATTATATAAAACATTCGAGGTAAAAGCATCGCAACGATCAACAGAGTAATGTCAAATACAATATATACGCGAATAATTCCACAAACGAAAATTACAGATCTTTTCAAATAAAATAATACGCGTCATAGTAACGTATCACGTGTCTCGTTGTTCAACTTGAACTAATAAAAAAAATATGCGTAAAATGATGTTAAATAAAAATATGCGTTCTTTTACAATAATTTTCAATAAGGAGTCATAATGTTATTACATATTTCATAATACAAGTTGATTATATCAAAAGGATTATATTTATTAATTATCGTTAAAAATAAAAATTTATCTATTAGTTATTACAATAACTGATTATAATTTATGTTAACAAGCAATGTAATAAAATTTCTCTGTTTACATTTAAATGTTTTATTTAAATTGAACGAGTATACCTATTCGATTTCAAAAACGAAGAATGAATGTAACGAGACCAGGTGGATTCAGAATCGAGGGAGAAAAAAAAGAAAGAGAGAAAAAGAGAAAAAGAAAGAGATAGATGAGAGAGTTGTGTTGGAAAAAGAGACAGAAATAACTACGATGCTCCGTTAAACATTACTGGTCGACTCTGTGGTCGTTTGTTCGACGAATTTGAAAACTAACCATGCTTGATATGCGAATGGGGAATGAACGAATATCACCATGAAATTTCTTAAATCACATAGATAGTTATTTAACAAAACTTCCAGTATAGCCCTATAATGTTTATTAATTAACGTATGGAGATAATATATTTTTGAGTTCGTTTTGCCTAATAAATGCTCGGAAATTGAGATATTATTTTTTGTTGTGCTTTTTTTCTTTTCTATTTTGTTTTCTTTTTTTTTTTATTTTTGCTTCGCAACCTAGTTTAACGAACGTGTTCGGGACAAGTCCATCGACATTCACCTGCAGGTGATGTTACTCAAATTAAAAGAAGGAAAATAAATTGGAATTGAAAATATGCTTTGTTTAAAAAATTGACTTTATCTTTTCGCTACGCGATGTCACACGAACTTTTCAATTATTCAATGAAAATTTTCATTAAAATAAAAAAAAAAAAAAAAAAAAAAAAAGAAAGCAAATTGGTTACACGGTATGTATGTGCGGTATTGGTTGTACGATATGTATATATTGGTATGTATGTGCATGTATATACGATTGAAAATTATGCTGTTCTTTTATCTAGAATATCTAAAATCAAAGAGATATACGTAAATGTCGAAAAAGTAAAAAAGATAAAAGAATGGAACGCTTTATACCTTTAGCCGAACATTTTTGGAAAGAAGAGCTTAACTTGAAAACTTGCGAATTTATAGGAAAGGTTCTCGCTCGTCGTCAGGATCGCTCGTGCTTTTGATAACCGAATTCTCCGTGTAATGTAAAAAAAGATCGGAATAAGGATGAAAGATATGACGGTGGACACGAAACGATATGACCGTCATTCGCAAAAGGTCGTAGAAAAATACTGATAGTAAACCTTCTTTTATATTAGAATATCGATAGAGCTGTTGCTGCACAAAAATGAATAAATAATATATAAAATTTTTATATTATGTATAATATATATATATAATATAAACATTTTCTGTTAGAGAATGAATAATTCTCTTTAGATTAATAATACATATTAAAATAACATATATAAGATAAGGTATATACGCATATCTATACATGTGTGTATATGATGTAAATTATTTTGTTTAAACATTTATGTATATATATATATATATTAACCAATTATATTAAATTATACTTTCGTATAAAATCTTACAAATCAATAAAGTTGAATAAATCATATCGTTACAAATTATTAAATATTATTAATATTTCGTAATACGAATGGTACAAGGATATCATCACAGATTCGAGAGTATTCCACTGATAGAATTCCCAATAGGTTGCAGACAAACTTTCGACGTATCTTTCCAATATATTATTAATAGTTTCGAAGAAGGATGCACGTGTTTGGAATTGTATATCGCAAAGTATGAACCTACCATTACGTTTAACGCATCGACAATCGTGGTTATATTATCGAATATCTTTTCTACTTCGAGTTCTTAAACAGACACGATACTTATAATAGAAACTGTACGACAAACTTTATTATAATCTCGCATTATTCTCTTTTTGGCTACCATTCGAAGAATGGATTATTAAAACTTTTATTTAACAAGTGGAATAAACAAATTTTCTATAGAATTTTATATATATTTAATTAAACTTAAAGAAAGAAACAATTTAATTTAACTTTTGTACACATTTAAATACAACGCATGTTTTTTTATAATTATTTTAAAAACATATAAATATATATATATATATATATATATATATATATATATCAGTTTTATCATTAAGATAAACCATTAATAACTCTAACATTATTCTCTAACGTTCGTTATAAGAATCGATCATTTATCTTACAAGACAAAGAGATCTGAAGAAACTCTCTAACGGGAAAATCGTTAAACGAGATAAGAAAACCGTACCGTGTATCACCGTATCGGCAATCTTACTTGAACTACGGAGCCCTTAGCAATAAAAGTGGAACACTCGATAGCAGCACCTTTCTGAAAAGCCACAAACGAAGAAATATATCTACTTCCTTTCTATTTCTCTCTGTCTGTCTGTCTGTCTGTCTGTCTGTCTGCCTTTCTCTCCCCCCCCCCCTTTTCTACCCCCACTCCCTCTTCTCTCTCTTTTTCTCTCAAGTTTGCTCTCACGCTCATGTGAGTAGGTCGTAAAGCAAGCTCCAGTAGAACTTTTATTGGGAAAACGTTAGCGTCGATACATATTCGATTTTAGACGAACGGATAGCAGAATAGTGGGGATAGTAGGGATGGTGGAGTTGAGGATGAGGGGTATAAGGGGTTGTGGTAACAGAACGAGCGTGCTTACAAATACCTTTCCTCCCGTTTTGAATTTCAATGCCGTCCGAACACAACGTCGTCTAACCGATCGATCGATCGACGATCCATCGCACGAGCGCTGTCTACATTTTCCTAGCTATGTGAATATAAAAGAGAACGCGAGACTGAAAATAGACGCCGTCGTCGCCTTTTTGCATGCTTGGAAAGGATGACGATTGAAAAATTCAACAAACTGAATCGATTCCTTTCTATTATTTTCTATTTTTTTTTTGTTTTTGTTTTTATTTGCTTTCTTTTCCCTTTTTTTTTTTTTTTATTATTTTACCCGATCATCAACGGAAAGTTCGCTTGTTAAAAAGTTTCTGATAGATCTATCAAATTGCTCGATTTCAGAATGAATAAAAATGAAATGCGTTTTAAGAAAAACGAAATCGTGATTTATTAGTTTCCGTTTGGTCATTCGAATTTTTATTAAATAGATTCGATTTAAAAATATCTTACAAATCTTTCTACGAAATTTAATTTTCATACGAAGATAAAGTAAATTATTATTAAAAATAAGAATTTTTATAATAATATTTATAATCTCAATACATTGAAATCATTTTTACATCGAATTAGTATTCGAATCACTCATGAATGTTACACACGTTAGACTTTAGCATACCATTTTCAATCAATCGAGGAGATTTTCTATAGAATTCTCACAATTCCACGTGCGAATAGTCGAAAAGGCGAGAAACGACGATACGATACGAAAATGAGCATCGATCTACACACGTGTTCTAGGCCGCGTTTATACGCGGTCATGCATTTCACAGAATCGAGGTAGCCTCGAATGCGTGAAAATGGCGTTATTCCGATCTTATCGGTCGGTCCGCTTGATTTATGATCGAGTCCTGAAAGAGTTAATGGAGGCAAAATAGCGTGGAGACCACCATGAATCGTTTCGTATCGAAACGAGCACTATCGATGCTCTCCGTTTTGATGGTGAACGTCGTTTGGTACACCATTCCCTATATTCCCTATCCCATTCTCTCCTCCCCCCCTCTCTCTCTCTTCTCTGTTTCACTCTAACACCTCGTTCGAACATAATTTATGATCGAGATGTAACTGTTAATCATTAACCGATCGTAGAAATCCCCGAACGATTTATCGCAGTTCCCTTTGGGGAAAAAAAAACTATGGCTTTATCCAGAAGCTTGAAATTTTTCAGAAAGTTAAATGGCGAAAAGTTATGAAGAAAGTGTTACTGTAACTAGTAGTACTAGTAATAGTAATAGTAATAGTAATAATAGTAGTAATAGTAGTAGTAGTAGTACTAGTAGTAGTAGTAGTAGTGGTAGTAATAGTAACTAGAAATTAAATTTATCTATTTTTTTTTTATGATGGAAACGATATCAAATGTTCGTACGTTTTTTTTACATCTGTTGGAAAACAACGTAAAAGTATACAAAGTTTATAGCGTATGTTGATATTCTATGATGAATCATTTAAAACCATATGAAACTAAATATTAATAAATTCCTTACGTATTCCTTTCTTTAGTTCTTTTGAAATTTTAATAAATTCATGAGAAACATCATAATTCATGTTCACTTATAGATTAGTTCATTGTATAATAAATAATTCGTTCGAATTTTTTAAATATTAACATTCCTCCAATTTTCCTAATTGGCATTATATACATTGACTAAGAAAATAAATTTCTATTATCGGTTTACAATTTATTTAAGATATCCTTATTAAAGATATGTTCCTTATACTCCTACATAGAATTCTGTTGACGAAAGAATATAACTTACCTCTCTTTCTCTTTCTCTCCCTCTTTCTCTCTCCCTCAATTTTCTTGCTCTTCTTGTCCTTATTCTATCCCTCGATCTCTCGCTCTTTTCCCAAGTTCTCCTCGTTAAAATCGTTCTCTTGGCGTCTTTGTTACCAGTAGCAGGCTCATAACAAGTAACCCGTTTACTTCTTGTTACAGCTATACCGGCACACATACCTGGCCGAATACAAGATCGTGAACCTGAAGACTCTGTAAGTAAACGAGCCATGCCTTGAGGGCGTTTACGATAATCATATCTCAGACTTATTCCCGTGGTCGAGTTTGGATTTGCATTTTAATCTTACATTCTCTTAGCGTTCTCCTAAGCTAGAACGAGATGAAAAAGGATAGGAAGAGAGAATGTTAGACAGAGAGAGAGAGAGAGAGAGAGAGACAGAGGAGAGCTAGAGAGAAGAGTAAGAGACATGGAAGCCTAAGGCGTACGCTAGGAAAAGCCTGTAGCGTAGAAATTACAAACTGTGTGGGAATTTAATCCTAGCGTCGTCTTACCATCACCCTTATCCGTTACACTTTCTACATTGAAAGAAAGAAAGAGAGAGAGAGAGTGAGAGAGTAGTTTCCTTCGCAGATTTGAACGTTAACTCAGCATTTAAAGAACCCTTATATCACGGCGAAAGTAAGCACTTTGCCACGTTGTTATTTTCTTTTCTCTCTCTCTCTCTCTCTCTCTCTTTTGCTTCTCTCTCTTTCAAGTATTTAAGAAAAATGAAAAAGAGAAAAGGAATGAGGGAGAGTTCGGAGACAATCGGAAGATTCGGAAATAAAATTACTTGCGAGAGAAAGAGAGACAAAGAAACGTGCGCGAGAAAGAGAGAGAGAGAGAGAGAGAGAGAGAAAGAGAGAAAGGAAAAGAACAGAACAATTTGCAATGTAATAGATGAAGTAGATTTTTTAATGGGTTTAATTTCTCTCCAAGGAGACGAGCGTGGTTTAGTTGGAAAGAACCGAAAAGGGTAAGGAGATATAAAGAGGGTAGAAACCGCGGGAAAGTTCAATTCTCGAAGGTCTTGCAGCACTATATCGTCGGTTTAACCGTTGAAAACTTTCCTTCGAGCATACCAACGTAAATTCACTACCCCTTTACTCTTTTCCCTTTCTTTCTTTTTTTTTCTCTTAAAGCTCGATTAATCCACTCTAACTTCTAATATGTTTACTGTCTCCTCTTCCTTCGAATAAGTTGCATTAATGTTCTAATGTTTTTAACGATTAATACGATGTAGTATTTTTATAGAAAAAAGAAAAAAAACAGAGAGAGAGAAAACAAGAAAAAAGAAAGAAAGAAAGAACTAAAAATCAAAAAGAAATTTAAATATGTTAAATAATGATAATATAATATTAAAATAAGATAGTATAATAATTTGTTAAGATATATTACATATTCTTATATCATTACGCTTGATGGCATGAAGTAGCGAAATAAGACGCCAAAGACGATGTAAACGGGTCGAATGTTTGTTCGTAACTGACACCTGATGCCTCGTGAAAACATAGAAAGCCATCTGGTTCCACATCCTTTAACGATATTTGTCTCGACATTGTTTACATCGATGAGACTAAATATAACGACAACATAAAATGAAACATTGACTCATCTTATTTTGACGATATGTTTTTATATTAAGGTTCTCTCGACGAACGATTATCTCTGACAACACAGAGCAAGAGAGAGAGAGAGAGAGAGAGAGAGAGAGAGAGAGAGAGAGCGAGAACGAGAGAGAGAGAATCACTCGATATTGAAAATTCTTAATTGTAAATATATACTACATTATTTTACATATTATTTAATCGACTCAATTGTTAAATAACTTAGTTAATAATGAACGAAGAGAAAAGTGACAAAGGAACTTTCGTCTAAAAATTTTACCCTCTTTCACTCCTCTCAAATGTTACAATTATGAATTTTATGATGTTCTGTACATATAAAAATATAATTTTTAATAAAAAAAAAAAAAAAGAAAAAAAAGAATATAAAAGAAACGTGCGAGCCATTTTGTAAAATGTACGAGGTATTACTGTCGATAATATTTTGTCTTTGCTCTTTCTCTCTCTCTCTCTCTCTCTCTCTCTCTCTCTCTCTCTCTTAAGTACACAGAAAGTAAGTATAGCATGGGTAGCTTTTGTCAGGGACGAAAGTACCAACGACTTTTCCCCTCGTACTTTCCTACACCTGCACCTACCATAAAGGAACGCCACGGAAGAGAACGTAAACTCTCAACTTTTAAAAATCGTGTTATTTACATTATGTTTTTAATACCTAACCGAGCGTAGTTCGCTTTCTCTACTTCTTTTGTAGAAAACTTGGACTTTTCCGTGGCCCTTTTGTCAACTTTTTTCCATGTGCACGCGAACAAACGAACAACCTAGCTAGCTAGCTAGCGCGAAAAGCGTTATCACTGTACTACAAAAGCACCGTTCTCGTTCTTCGGTCCAATGCTCGACTGTAAAGATCGTTTAACAAACTCATACGCATAGTTATAACTTTTTTCGTTACTCGCTCGGTCGAACTGGAACGAGTAATAGAATATTTTTGCCACCTAGTGAACACTTTAATGAATCAAAAATTTCGCGTGTTATCAACTTCGCCGTTTGTTAGGATATAAAAGAGAACGTGAAGATAATCGATCGTAGTTTCGTGAATGTCACGGATGAAAGTCTTTCAGTATTTGCCTAAAAATTATATTATTATTTACTTTGTTTCTTATTGAAGATACGTTGTAATGGCTTTTGAAAAAATTAACAAAAAATATTCCGTATCTCTGATATATAACAATAGTAAGATAAAATTTATATATTTGTTCATTAATAATCCTTTGAAAAGTGATACGTAATTAGAATAAACCACGTAATTTAGACTCGTAAAAAATATACTTATGTAGGAAAAATAATCCGTAAATTTCACTATATTCAACGTTTATCGTGGTGAAGGAGCAAAAAAAAATATTCTTTCTTGAATTAAACGATTTATCAACAAAATATATATATACATATGTATATCTCAAATTGAACATGATTGGTCCTAATATTTCTTTTCTATCGATGAAAAATGATTTATA